GAAAAATTTTAAGAGCGTAAAGTCCGTTGGATAAGACGGATGGAGTGTGAAGCATTGAAATTACGAGAAATACAAACATCTAGAAAGTTATAATTGGTAATGTTGAAGATAAGATACCACTTGTGATACATAGCCTTAAAAGGAAGGATAATATTAAAATGTTTTAAGGATCTAGAGTATGTGAGAAGGGTTCAACTACCGTCTTTTGTGAATAAGGTAATGAATCTTGTGGCTGCATGAAGTTCAAACATTTTGTGGCCAGGTGACAGAGTAATAAATATCAAGAAGGGCCCCGCTGAATGGGGTTAGAATAAGTTCCTGTGACCTGTTACGGAATGTATGATTGTGTGTGTGTGTGTGTGTGTGTGTGTGTGCAGGAGGAGACGACGAGACATCAGACGAGCTCAGTGCCGAAAAGTATGACCCTGCAAAAGACACGTGGACCATGATCGCTGGCATGAACTTCTATGCAGATTACTGCAACGCAGAAGTGATCGACGACACGATCTTTGTCATCGGTGGAGGTTGCAAGGGGGAAGCCGACTTCTGTGTCAAATGTTACAATGACAAGGAAGATAAATGGTTTGTTTGTTTCTTTGTTTGATTGTTCAGGACTGTATAATCACAAACTGTTACTTTCGAAAAGCACTAGGAAGTGAATCATTTCGGGTCGAGGTATCCGCGATTTTGCGGATGCTACACCGTGTAGTGTCGTAGAAACTGACCGAGGTCATTACTGCTTACTCAGGGCCTTGAATACAACGAGCGAAAAATGGGTGAGAGGAAGGGGGTAGAATGAAAGCAGGCAGGGCGATGTTACGGTCAAGCTGTGTCGTTAAAGCAGAGGGCGAATGACTAGGCAATGCTAATCAGACGTAAAGTGTAACTGCATTAATAAGAAGCTCTTTGACTAAGTTTCTTTGATCAGTGGCACTCTCTTGGGCAGAAAGTTCCCGGCGTTCAGCACATCAGCATCGCCATAATATTCGGCTTTTATCAAAGTGTTGGTTTACTTTCGAAAAGCACTAGGAAGTGAATCATTTCGGGTCGAGGTATCCGCGATTTTGCGGATGCTACACCGTGTAGTGTCGTAGAAACTGACCGAGGTCATGGAAATGGCTGTTGAGAGAGTGAGTAAGCAGGTCCGAAAACATCCCTGAAGACAGATTTCTTCATAATTGTTTGTGCAAGAGCCAGGAATCCCACAGATATTCATTTAATTTTGATTTTTGTCTGTTTTATGTCCAGCAGAACCTCTCCAGAACTACGTTTGGTGGGACAAATTTTTTTTGAAAATATATTGCTAATAGGGGCACTCTCTTGGGCAGGAAGTTTCTGGAGTGCAGCACATCAGCATCGCCATAACCTTCGGCTTTCATGTAAATGTTAGGCCAGTTTCAGGTTTAACGACGCCTGCCGTCTCATGTTCCCATTCTTGATGGAAGTTTATTTTAAAATGACTGTCTCTTGGCGTGTTTGACCATGCAGTCTCCTTCCATCTGTCGATGGAGTTGGTAAGGAGCTCCAAAAACATCCCAGAAGACAGATTTCTTCATACTCGACTGTTCAAGAGCCAGAAATCCCTAAGAAATTCATTTGATTTTGGTTTGTGTTTGTTTTACGTCTAGCAGAACCTCTCCAGAACTATTTTTGGTGGGACAAAAAC